GGATTTAATGAATGATTGTTGTTTCGTTCAAATCGCGGAGAGTCACCGCGGTCCGAACGGGTTGCCGGGACCGTCCCGACGGGGACGCACAGTGAGAAAAAATACCGCGAGTTTTGATTGCGGACGCGCGGGTTGTAAATCCGGCGTTTCACGAAGACAAAGAAAGATAGGAAACGAACAAAGGCGCAGACGAAATTACTGAGAATTTCAAGGGCTGCTCAGTTCCGCAGTAGATCAATCAATGAAGATTGGCTTTCATCATCGCCGGTCCACTTGATTGGGAGGATAGATTGGATGAGAAAGGGCAAGGAACAATCGGATAGACAATACGATAGAAGAATTGGAAGAAGTCACGACGGCACGGAAACGGCGGGTTTCGCGATGCTCGTACTGATGATAGAAACGACGGGTTTCTATGCCTTGTTAGCGAGAGCACGGAAAACGACAGGTTTTCGCTAGATAACTCTCGGGAGTTGTCAACGACGTGCACGAGACAGCTCTAACGGTTGACACGTTGATCGCTATCGGAGAGAACAAGGCGAACTGAACTGATTTCGGGTGATCGAAATGAACTTGACGCGACACGATGTTGACTTTTGGTCGACGCTCACGGTCACGGCGGCAGGTGGAACGCGGATGCCCCCGTCCCCCCAGCGCCGCGACACAAACATACACGGCCTTCGCACGATGAGCCGAATAGAAGCGGCCGACCGAAATACAAGTTCAAACATATTGTTTTTCCGTTGATCGATTTACGATTGTGATAAGAGCTTCATTATTAGTTGTGACTTTAACAATAGCATTTGGAATTAATAATGTTCTTTCTTCATCTAAAGCTACAGCTTGAATAATTCCTTCTTTAAGATTCTAAGGATTATATACTTTAAATTTCGCAACCATTTCTGGTCTTGATCCAATAGTAATTATTTCTTTTGATTTTTTAACCGTATTAAAATTTAGAAGAATAGAAAATGGAATACAATCGATATTAATACAATTATTTTTATAAGATATCTCGACATTTTTAGTATTGAAAAAATCATTACCTAATAAACCATCAAAAGGTATATTTGATTCATTATTATTATCAATTAATTGCAGATCAACCAAGAATTTGTTTCGATGAATTTTTAATCCAAGTTGAATTTCTTCAGAAGTTCGAATAGGTGCATTTTTTTATGCCCGTTATAATTATAGTTTTGTCATTGATAATTTGATAACTACTGATACTCTCTTTTTTTATTAACACTAGGTTTACGGACATTTCTTGTATACCTATCTCTACGGACACGCGTCAAATTGACGCGTGTACGAAATCGCATATTTTCGTTCATATTTATTGCTGAAGTAATGCTTTCATGAATCGAGCTCGTTTACTAGGATTAATACCTACTCAATTTACGATTGCGTCAAATTGATGACACCCGTAGAGATAGGTATACCACATAGAGAATTCCGAGATTAAAAGGCTTAGAAGAAAATGAATTGGGATATATATTTGTCTCGTTAAAACAATAAAAGTCAGCATAAATGATAGGAGAGAAATGTAAACGGTTTCGGTCATTTTCCTTGTAAAGTTCAGAATGCGTCAAAATGACGCGTCCCGTAAACCTAGTGTTAAAGGGACGGAAGCTCCTGTGTCTATGGGGAATTTGAGTACTTTATCAGGAGAATTTGCTGATGAACATTCGACTAATATATATATTAAATCATTATTATTAAAATTAACATACGCAAAAGTTGAATTTGAGAATTCGCATAGGATGGACTATTCCATTCTTTTTACATCAGTTTGAGGAACAAAGTAAACGTTTTTTTATTAAGATTAGTACGATTTTTACGTGGTTCTATACATTGTGTTTGTGAATTTTCGGCTGTGACATTAATTTAGGAAGTACTAGGAGATTCAATATCAAAATCGGATGTTTGCATTTCTGTACGTGCCGTCCCTCCGCCTCCTACCTACAGCGCTGAGGGGTTCTACCTCTTCCAATCACAACCTTGCCCAACTATTTCCTCCGTCGTTCTTGATTTTTTCCGCAAAATTCTATACACCTTTTGCCCTTTACAGCCCCGAAGGCTGCAATAAACGAGCGCCTACCGTATGACGTAATACCTAACCTGTATGCAACAACATTATTTCAATTGCTCCTTGTTAATAAGTTGTTATTGACATATCTGACTATTGATTATTATAAAACAGATCAGGAGCAATTTTTTAGTATCATAATCTTTGTGTAAAAAGACCATTTAGTATCTATCTTGCAAACAACAAATTTTTGCTTTTTCATGTGCGAATACCTCATAAATATAAATGGTACGATGGGGGCAATTTTAGATTCCGAGGGAGCAAATTGGGAGCAATTTTGTAAGATATAAATTGTTAAGAAACACTAATATTCAGCGCCAACTATTTTTCGGTGGTCCAGCACTATGTATGTATTCCTTTCGTGTTGCGAGGTTACATTTACTGACTGCTTCCTGTTTTATCTATGCTTGTGGTAACATGGCCAAAGTTGCTAACAAATACCATAAGCACCCCTAGCGGAGAATCCTTAAACTATACTACTGCATATTCTTGAGTCCGGACGCGTCAAATCGTAGAAACCAAAATGTTACTTCCAGAAGTGATAAATTGACAAAAATCGAATTTCTATAATAGTGTGATAGTGATGTGCAGGGTGGTCTGCTCTGCTTTTGACGAGGAAAAACCATTAAAACCATTAAATTGTGTGATATTTGACAAAATGTGACTTGAACAGCCATCTTGTGTGTTTTCATCGGCGTCTGTCACAATCGCACACTTTTTAAAATTGTAATTCTTTCAACGTATGGTGTTTATTAGTGTTTATACGGACCAGACCGCCCTGTATTGAAGTCTAGCCGTGAGTTCTATACCCGTGAATAGTTCATTTGTGCAATTATCGAGGCACATTTTGGTTTCTACGAAATCGAATGTCTCTCTCGTGCATAGCGTACACATACACGGTTCCCGTTGCTTGCGGAGCGCACGGACACAGCTCACAGTCCACGGAGTCTACCCCCTTAACGGTCACAGGTGACCGACAATAAATTTTCCGTTTATACCTTGTCGATAACGGATAACTATTATTTTCATATATAGGATGTATGCAAAGCTACTGGCACTGTTTTTTCATGGGAAAGCTTTGTAATTTATCATTAGCAAATTGCAGAAACTCCTGCTTGAGACTTTTCTCCTCATCTTTTGCTATGATCCTGAGAAAAATTCAATTCCCTGCTAATAAAATAATGTAAACCTATAATATCGGCTTACAGGCGCCCGTCATTACTAAATAGCAGATTGTTATCTAAATTCAGATATTGATAGATTACTTTATTGAACTGAAATTATGTCAGCAATTCGTTTACTTTAAGTTCGTTAAGTCCAGGGTTAAGTATATGTACTCACCTTCTCGAAAATTTTTACTGCGTTGTGCTTATCATATTCACATTTACAATAAATACATAAAGTTTTGCATTCATCTAATACAATAATTTTAACAACGTAAATGAGAAGTCAGGTAAAACACGTCTATTACTAACGCTTAATTGAAAAATGATTTACCATACAAAAGTAGATCGATAATGAATAAAATGCAGAATGAAATTTTGCCAGGGAACGTTCCAGTTCCGAAAAAATCGAACTTTAATGACGTGTCTGTTCCGTAGTTCCCGTCTTGAATAATATTAAGTCATTGTTTTTGGTCTGTATTTAATGTATACATTAGTATGAACCTTGTTTCTATTCGAATGTATTCTGTAGCGGAGATACCTAGTCACAAGTGGTGAAAATAGTATGCAGGTGACTGATTTGAGAAGATCCTCACCGCATCCACCTGATGTAGTTTGTTCGACTACGTAGATACACAATTCCGGACGTGTTTCTGTAATATGCCTCCTTTATCTTCCGCAAAACGGAGGGGTGTGTCTTGAAAATACATGATGGTACTTTAAAGCGACATATCGGCACGTGAACGCTCAGATATGGGGAGAAATTTCAGGGAAATATACTGAGTTTCACGGACTGCTGCATTCCGGAATGAAAATTAGAGCTACCAATTTAACAATTGCGGGAGAATCATTGAAAATTAATATTTTACGTTTCTATATTTGTAGTGTTATATTTGGAGAAGTACGATGAGCAGATTAACAGTTTTTCAATGGTGAAAATAAATCCGAACATGATTTTAGTTTTATAATTTTGAGTTTCGTGTTATGTATTTGAATTTTCATTCTGGGTACGTTTAGTTACAATGAATTAAAATATTGTATACTATTGTAACAATACATTTTAAATTATTATGAAATTTTATTACATATAGTACTGATTAATTTTGAATGTACATTAGTAATGGAAATGTAACTATTAAGTGTGATTAGTACTCGTACACAGCAGGTCTATATGTTTCAGATTTTTTTTAAATTTCAGTTACCTTGAAATTATTTTGTAGGCTACTTTCTATGATAAAAAAGTACCATTATAATTATTAAGAGTGCGAAAGCTTCCACAGATACTGATGAATGGCCTACTGTTTATTTCATTCCAAAAATGAATAACGAAAATATACTACATAGGTAATTATAAAATAATAAATGATTCATATAATGGAAAATAAAAAATACGATCGGTGACCAGCAGTAAAATAATCCGTATCAAATGTTTAAGAATGATCGATCTAACGAAGGATGCACTGGATATTGTCAAGCATTACGAAATTGCAACAGATTTCACTATCCTCTTTCCTGTAGTCCCTCTATTAGAATGTCACTGTGTGTTAAAAGCCTAATTGTATACACTCTCTTCTTCAATTACGTAGCATTTACAGCAATTACAAAAACTCTTACACACAAAATTCCTATAGAATTAAGTCTACCGAAAAACAGAAGTACCGATAAAAGTACTTTATGAAGCATTAGTAAAAACGGTTGGTGGTTAACTAAAATTGTTTGAGTTAAAAAAATATGTATACGTTTGGTAGATACATAACGAGCTAGGAGCAAGGGTTACCACCGCCTGTCTACAACTTCACGGTCAGAACGCGGACAAAGAGTATGTCCTACCACCTGGCGCGGAAATTGGAACGCCGATGTTTGAACTGTACATCGCTCTACAAGATTTCGTAATGTAAATACAATTTAAATCATAACTAGTCTATTATTACTATTTAATCTATTGATAAATTGACCAATTGGATACTTTGATAAGTTAGATTCGTTATGCGTCTTTTATGCCAATGTGCACGATAACGATACTTGTTGGTCATTTTGATGCAAACCCAATTGAACAATTTTTCAACTTGCACAAATTATTTTATTTTGAAATAGTTAAGGGAAAAAAATTAATATCATTTGCAATGTAATATCTAGTGACAGAATTGTTGTGTATGGTATTGGTAAAGCGTAGGCCTACAGTAGTACCAAAAATAACGTAAGTAATGTTGGAACGTTGGAAAAAATGAGGGCCCAAGCGAGATTCAAACCCACGACTCCCGACGCTGAAAGCTGGGACTCTGCAGCAGGCTTGTGAATTAATTGCTCGTTTCGGCCGATTTTCAGAGGCAACACCACAGACGAGATACAAGAGTAGACCTAGCATCTTATAGGACTTGGTGTTCCACGAAAAACACTAAAAACTGTCAGAAGGCGATTAAAACCCGAGAATTATATTTGGGGAGTTCCTCCCGCGAAGTATGAGACCTGTCGATATTGTTTTCAGACTTCATTTCAAGTAATATGGGGTGCAACTGATACGATCAGCCGACCGTAATCGCCGCGCGTATGACTCGTTTACCTCAAACGGAGTACACGGCTGCCTTTAACAGTTCATTGTGAAGTTAATCTCCATTTTCAATAGCAGATCATTATGCTCAGTATAATTCTTTTACAAGCGGCTAAAGCGCTACTAATGTAGGCGTTCGAAATGGTGTTCATTTACATTAATACACTGATGTAATCTATTAATCAACGAGGAAACTGCACTTTGAATTGTTTCCGCAGCAAGCATACTGCATGCTTCAGGAATTGGTTCTTTTAGATTCTTTGGTGTCGTTGTTGGTACACGATACACCATATCTTTTAATGTACCCCATAGAAAGTAGTCTAGCGGCGTTAGATTTGGTGAACGTGGTGGCCACAGAAATTCTCCACCACGACTGATCCATGAATTGGGGAATTGTCTGTCGAGCACTTGCTTTGTTACGTGTGCATAATGCGCGGGGCAACCATCATGTTGGTACCAGATGTCTGTGCGAATATTTAATGATACATTTTCTAATAAAGTTGATCAAATATCACGTAAATAATTCGAATATTGTTGTCCCGTTAATCGTTCATTAATAAAAAATGGTCCAATTAATTGATTGCCAAGTATTCCACACCACACGTTAACACCCCATTGACGTTGATGGTTAACTTCTCTCATCCAGTGAGGATTCTTTGATTCGCAGTAGTGCATCTTTCTCAAATCAATTTGCCCGCGATTAGTAAACGTCGTTGTAAGTAACAATATTATAATAAAAATGTTCGTTCGTAAATAACACATTTTGTTAAAAAAAAATCATCATTGTACATTTCATGCAAGAACCATTGGCAAAATCAAACGCGGTTTTCATAATCCGATCCGTGCAACTCCTGAAGAAGTACTAGGTGATATCGATGATATTTTTTATTATAAAGAATTCGAAGCACACTTGTTTTGCTAGTACCAGAATCTCGTGAAATCTGTCGTGTACTGATATGAGGATTTTCTGTTAACGCTACTAGGACCGCAATAGTATTTTCTTCAGAAGTATCAGATTTGGTTACGTTACATTTGGTAACGTTAAGACTTGCGCTTTCTCAAAGCGATGTACAAAATCCCTGGAATATCAATCGACATGATTGATTTCGTTCAGAATAAATTTCAGAATAAACTAAAAGCTCCACTACTCTGCCACTTTATTTCCACCGTGCTGGCACACACAAGCATATCCCAGCCCTGTACGTGCGCGCTACCCGTTCGATAGACGGTGCGTCATGGTGGGAAAAGACTGGGGGGTCCACGTCTCACGAGTCTGAAATCACTGCTTGGGGCTGCCTTGGACATCCTGTACGAATCCCACGGAGGCGAAAATTCATGTTTCGATGCGACGCCCTTTTTTTACGGTGGGAAAACCTTGAAAAGATGCACCGCCTCCGCTGGGGGCGGAGACGGCCAATGTGGGGTTTCACCCACTAAAAACACCCCGGTGACCCTCGGGCGTAGGTCTCGCAACGGGAACGCTCAGCATAACCGCGACCAGCCCCGCCCATTGCCCTCCCCTATAGGTGTTTAAGGGAAGAGCTCTTCTCCGGAGGGAGGGGGCAATTGCTCCCCCCCCCCGGACGGTATGGATGGAGGAAGGCTGTAATGCCTTCCCTCCACCTTCTACCTACAGCGCCGAGGGGTCACCTCTCGATGCTGTATTCTCGAAGGCCGACCGCGAAAGGATGTGGTCCCCCCAGTACCACCCCCACAGCCCGGTTGCCCCGCGGGCGACGCGAGGGTCATCGCAGTTGTGATCCTATGAATCGCGCCATCCGGGGGGCAACCGACGGGACGCCTTTTTTTTCTTTTTTTTTAACGTAGGGAAAATGCCTTATGCACACCTCGAAGTCCTGGGGTAGGACTCCGAGGTAGTGTGCGACTCGCACCCACTAAAACCCCTACGATAGCCTTCTCGGACGGAACCGGTGGTGGCGGGATCTCTAACGAACACACAGCCACCACCGCACCTGTGCTCCTCGAGGATTCACCTCGAGGAGCCCGTTCCGTGGGGGCGATCGAACGCCCCCCAAGGGTGACCTATACCCACGTCACCCCCCCTTCTCCACTCCGCCGGTGCCAGAGGACTGCACCCTGACACCGGCCCCACCCCGGGCCGCTTTGGATGCAGTTGGGTACCCCACCCCAACTGCATCAGTGGCCCCGGCAGGCGAACGCGTGTGCGGAGCGGGGAGCTACCAAGGCATAAGCCCCGGCTCCCCACGTCTCCGCACACACGCGTCCGCCTTTCGCGATCCCGCTCGTCGTCCTTCTTCCGCAAGACAACAGTCTCGCAGAAGGAGGACACCGCTTTCCAGGACCTCTCACTCCCGACCATGGCTGTGACCACGGCCGGGAGCGAGAGGTCGTGTCCCACCTCCAACCGGAGTGCCCACCTTTCCCTGGCAAAGGCCGGGCACTCCTCTAACGCGTTCTGCGCGGAGTCTACCTCCGCGCAGCACTGATGGCTATGCAACCTAAGCACGTGAGCAACAGTCAGGAGACCCCGATAGAATCCGAGTGCGGCGGTTTTACTTTTATATTCAATTACTTTGTAATTTCACTTTATAACATCTAAGTAAAAAGAAATTTGAAAAATATTGATTTGTAAAGCATTTAAACAGAAGAAAATAAATGCTAATTCTTTTATATGCATAAAAGAATTAAACTACTGAAATGGAAAGCATTTATTTTTTTCTTTTGGCTACACGCTGCAATTGATAGCTAACGTTTACCACGGGAACTCGGCCGGCAGACCCGCCCTCTGATTGGTCGGGGTTTTTCATCAATATCTTGTTACGTACGAAGACACTCTCGTGAACTTTTAACCCTATCGGGAGTTGAAATGCATCCGGCTAGATTACGTAGTTGTCCACGGGGTGTTATGGTGTGGCCAGATTTTCTTGGAAAATTTTCCGTTGAGAAACAGGCGTGTCCCCCACTACTCATAGACTCGAATTTCAGGGTATAAAAGGTGGACGCATGCAGCGCATCAGTAGGTCATACTTATACTAGAAGTCTAGTTAGTGAGATCGGGTATTAAAGTCCCTTTCAAGCCTTTTAAAAAGTAATGTAAATTCTGTACAACTGGCCCCCGCATTTCTCAGTGCGTGAAAATCGAGAACGTTTGAATTAGCTTCCGCGACCACAATTTACATTAACATTTCTAAAACCGTTACTTGCTTGAATATACTTTATATACATTATATACATTATTTATAGTTCAGTGTTGTTCATTTTAACTGTAGAATAATAGCTAAATTCCTAGCTAGAAGCGAACCCGCAACCGCACACTTTTACCGCTCGAAGTGTACCGAATTCTTAAAGTTACGAGGCCCATACTAACGAACCTGGTGGCTCCCTGAGATGAAGTAGGCTCAGGTTCGTCCACGGAAAATCTTTCCTAGTGCCTCCCTGTAATGAAATTGGCTCAGGTTCGTCCACGACTACCAACTTCCTAGTGGTTCCCTGAGATGAAATAGACACAGGTTCGTCCACTTAACAAACTCAAAAACCAAACACGCCATTCTTTCGCTTTTGCAGCCGCTTAGCCCTTAGTTCATGACAATCTCGTTAACAAAGACTCAGATAACATTTTTGCTAAGGAAAAACATGTTTCAAATCCCCTCACGAGTCTCCCATTTCTGGGACCTCCAACATTTTTGTTACACGCTGTATGTTACGTTTATATTTTATACATATATATTAGTTCGTAAACTTAGAAACCATTGTTATTGGCAATAATTATGCAGGAGTTATATTATTTCCAAACTTTTATAAATTTATCTAATAATAAATAAAACGAATCCCGATGAAAAACTAAAACGCAACAATATTTTGGATCTTTTTATATTATTTGTATGTAATTAGTAATAACCATATAAATAAACACAAATTGTATTAATTTTATACAGTAATTCTAAATACTATCGCATTGCGATTATTACGAGCCGAGGGCTAAAAGCAGCTTTCTCCGTAGCCGAAGTAAGGTAGTGTGTTAGGAGCGGACGACCTTACCCTTGGGGACGGGAAGTGGTAGTTTGGAAGGGATAAACAGGGGAAGAGGTGTTCCTGAGATATTCGGGACGTAGGTAGGTAGTGATAGGGAGTTGAAGTAGGCGATCTAGCTCTCTCTCAGCGATGACGATACGACGATGAATCCCCCATTTGTACAGACTCGGTCTGTGGGTGAAGACAAGAGTAAGCTGGTATTCACCTTTCGGAGACGAAGGATCGGTTGCCCCAACATCCAGCACCACAGGTTATCAATTGGGTAGGGATGAGACGATCCTAATGACTCTCCACCCCCCGGCACGAGTTTTCTACCTCTGTCCGTGTGCGCT